TTACATATACGTCGCAGGGCGACAATCCAAAGAATTTCGACGACGTGCCTTGAGTTTGGCAAACTCAAATCGGAGGTGTCGCTCCACACGCACGTCCACTTGCTTGTGGCTCAACTGTAAGTTATACAGTGAGGAAAGTTTCCGGTGCCGTTGCACCCTTCGCTCAAAGAGCACTTTGTCATCTGTAGCGCTTTCGCCAGGGGCGAGCACTACAGGTATTGTCCACATTGCGGTTACAGGAGAGTTACTTCGTTGAGCACACAGACGAGTGCGATAAGCTTCCAACGAATATTCTTAAAAAACGAGCTCGAAGTGCTTTCCGTTTGGCAAGCTCATCTTCCAAAATGGCCTGGGGCCCGATGATGTGGAGGCGTAACGGTCGAGTTACCGCGTCCTTCGCTTCCACAGCGGGATCCGCCGGGCGAAAGCCATACTGCACACAAGGGTCAATGACCGGCCGTGGATGGGTGCGCATCCGAGCCGCCTTACGGGCAGCTTCCAGGTGCCGCCTCTGTGCTCCGTCGAGGTCATTGGTAATTACACCACATCCCTCAGGTGACGAGAAGTCAGGAAACGGACATGGGGTCCGCAAGGTGCGAGCAGGACACGTATCACGCCGCTGGCGCGGCTCGCTTTTCTCGTCATCCCACGCGGGAAAAGGAGTGTCATACTCGTAGTCGACCAACTCCACATCCTCAACGAGGTCACTCGTCACTGATAGCGTGTGCGGAGCGCGACGCTCGTGCTCATCGAACCTAGGTGTTATTCCCTCGATGCCGCGGACGCACTATCCGACTTGCACCGCGTGCGGGAGACGAAGTTGGGCTCTACCCGAGTGCGCTGTCAGAACCAGCGAGACTTGGCGACTTCCGTGTCGTTGACACAGGGCTCATTGAGCACGAAAGTCGTTTTGTTCCAACGAACCAAGTCGCAGTGTCTAGCGGACACGTAAGCTTCGTTGAGGCAATAATCGATTGGAACTGTAAATTTTCTCAATCATAATGGGAGAGAGTGAATCGGGGTTACACGTACCCTGGTAACAGAGGTGTGTGTCACACGAGATGGGCATGGTGTGACTGCACCCAAATAATAATACGGTTCGTGGCTGGGTAGCCAGTAATTATGCATGTATTTGGATATGTATTAGGAAAATCTATACATTTAAAAGTTAGCAGCTTTGCCGCAGATAAAAAATAAATAAAGCCAGATATAAATTTAAACGGAAGATTTAATTAGTAATGGGTTAAGGCAATAATTACTCTTGGAGTAAGCGGATTTCGATCCTCCAAACTTGTTCTAAGTATGGAACGAAAGGTCGGTGACCTAACTTACGCCTCCTCAAAGCGCAAAGCTACGGCAGCCCCGCTGCACAGAGACCCAGTATTTCTGCAAAGTTTGGCAAATTTAATATAAAACATTCTTGACGCCACAAACAGTCAACTGCCACCCACCCACAACCACAGGCTAGAGAGAATATTGCGCTGTGGAGGATATTCTCTGGATAATTTGCGTAGATGGACCGCAATGCTAAAGCGAGTTGCTCCTACATATTGAGTCTGCATTCAACGACGCATTTAATGCCTCTATAGGCTTTGCCCCAGTTTTACAAATAACAAGTTGGTGAACCCCTCATACCTTGATAACGCAATGCATCGAAGAGGGGAAGGAGCTGTCGAGCAAAACTGGCTAGCTCGCATCAACCCGGCCACAGAAACAGCGACTTTATCTCCATGAGAAGAAGCATCGTGCGCAGCGTGCGCAAGTTAGTCAAGAACGAATAAGCAACTCCTCGATGCCCAATTTGGGGGAAACGCACACAAATTTATTGTAAGGCAAAAGTTTATTGAATACATCACACCCATCAACACCTGCAATACTCGCGATCCATAATGTTGGAAAAAGGATCCGGAAACGATTATCTGGATGGCGGTTGGCAGTTGAAATGACCGTTGGCGGTTGAATGGCCTAAGGAATCGCGGGAATTTCTCTAGGCCTCATAGGGGGTCTCGGTAGGTGCATATTCTAGGAGATAGGTGCAGGGAGAATGCCTTGGTTCTGATAGATCAGTTTCTCTTTTACCATCCAAATTCCAACAGGGTTATGAGCCCAAGCGAGTCGCGCTAGGGGAATAACGATACAACACCAAGGAACAATGGATAAACAATGCGATGACATGCTGGTGCTCTTGGACAAGGCCAATGACCAGTGGTCCAGCAGCTTTCCTCCAGTTCGCGACGACAAAGAGATCGATTGGCGTCAGCGCAAGTGGCTTCTGCGCACCTTCAAGGAGTATGGGATCCTCGACACCGCAGAGGCAGGCTTAAGAGAGACCAACTCAGCACAGCGGAAGGGAAGGTAGCTTTTGATCGCCAGCAGTGCAAGATCCAGCGTATGATCGCGTCGGCGATACCGTCACACCGCCTGCAGCAGG